TTGCCAAAATTACAAAAATGTGTCAAGTGAGGCTGACTTGAGCCGAACGAGAACATGAGGAAGTCATCAATCAAAAGTGCGCAGATATATCAAATGATATTATGCATCCAAGCGTGCAGCATGCGGCGCAGCAGAAGCGACATTGTACGACCATGCGGAGGGTTTACCCGCCTCGCAGGCGTTTTTCACCCGGACCTTCATGGGAGCAGAAAGGCCTTAGGGCATCAACGGCGTCTGCTGCGTTCTCAATGTGTAGAAACATTGCACCGCACAAGCTGTTTAGCTTTTGCAGCGGTGACCGAGAAAAAGAACCATCAGCAAGTTTTCAATATAGAGTAATGCGGAAATGGGAAGGGTTGCAAAATGACGACCTCTTCAAGAAGCCTGAAGTCACATATCTCATTGCAGAGTGCCACTCTTCATGCTCGTCTGCTTCCGCACTCCAAGCAAAACGCCACTGTATATGATATATGAGATTGGCAAGAACTGATGCTGATCCAATTACTTATACAGCCTTTGGCCTATGGCATAGCCTTCTCATTCTCAAGCTGAGCTGCCTCCTTCTTCTGGAAGCACCAATCGTTTCTTCGGTAGCTCTGGCAGTGGCTTGCGCACCGGCTCTGGGCCCATCTTCTCCGCCAGCTCTTCTGGGCTCTCCTGAAAACCGCTTCAGGAACAACAGCCACTTTACATCCTGTAAAAACTCTTGGCTCACTTCCCAAGTGGTTCATATAGGGATTGGGCAGAAAACAGTCCCGGGAATTGGAGCCAAGAGTTTTTTGGGGGTATACGGTATACAGTATATACATGGGTAGTTATATCTATACGAGTATACAATTATATACAGCATTATACAGGATATAGCTGGGTAGTTTTATGCTTGGCATAATTATATCGATATTGTAGTGTAATGTAGTGTATATGTGCTACCCCCCCCCCCCAAAAGTCCACATTTTTTTGGCTTGCACTGGTATTTGCAGTGGTTTGATGACATTTTGGCATTCATTTTTTGGGGGTACATTTTGAGGGTTTTTTTGTCTGGTCTGTTGAATTGCATGTCACCATATTGTGCATTGGGCGATAGGAATCTTGAGATAAGTTGTTCATTTGGCAACTAGCAGCCAGAGTTTTGCAAAAGTTTGGTATTTGGACTTAACCTTATGATTTTGGAGGTGCCAAGAAGATTCCAGAATGCCTCTTTGTTGAATGTTTCCCAGCAAGCAGAAGGGATCTTGGAGATATAGTTGTTCATGTGGGGCCTAGCATGCCTTGAAGATGGGGGGAAGACATGCCTTGATCTATTTTTTACCCTCAGGAAGACAATGCAGCAGTGAAGACCTACAGACAGTGCCTCTCACTTTGCACCCTGCAACTGGGCTACCTGGGCGGACAAATGAGCAATCATGCGATCTTTCTGTTCAATCTCTGCCTTCTTCTCCTGCAACTGAAGCCTCTGCAGAGACTGACCAAGGTCATCAAAGTCAAAGGACATCTGCTTGAACTTTGGATGCTTGAAGACAGCTGCTTCGAGCCAGTCCCCTTGCATAGTCTCCCCTGAGACGGAATCCTCCTGGTTCGCATCGCCACCCTTGACTTCCACACACGCACCCACCTCATCCTCAACATCTTCCATCTCAGACTCCTCACCCTAATGCGATCCCACAAGGCTTTCATGTCGAGCAGGTATGTCACTGGGTCCTTCAAATTAAGGACCAGGTTCGCCTTGTCATTGGAGACCGTGACTTCCCCAGACACATGGAATGCCATGAAGCCGGTTTTTGGATGCAAAAATGCCTTTGAGATTAACCGGCTGCTCCAGAAACGGTGAAGACTTCAATACTTAGAGAATTCCAGAAAATTTTAAAATATTCTAAAATTTTCTCAGAAGTAAGAAGTAAGAAGTAAGATTGCACAGAACTCTCCCAGAGAATCTTACTTCTTGCTTCTTACTTAAAATTTTAAAATATTTTAAAATTTTCAGGAATTCTCTAAGTACTGGAAAGTTTACGTCCGCCATTTCCGATTAGTGCTGAAATCTTAGGATTTTAATGGATGCTAGGATTATATATATATATATGGTACCCCCACAATCCCTGCAAATACCAGTAAAATTTCAAAAAATATGGACTTTTGGGGGGGGGTACCGTATATATATATATATGTATGTTTTGCTTGGCCCCACGGACCTAACTTTCAAGCAACTGTTTCATACCCTCCCCTTTTTTCGTCGTTGCTTCTCTCGCGCCGCCGTCGTTGCTGTTTCCCTCTCCACAACTCCATGAGATTCAACCCCCGTTTGCTCGTGCATATTCATAGATTCAAGCCTGTCCATTCTTGTGACATCACCATGAGATGACACAATCATGGGAGATGATGGAAGAAAAAATGCAAAGCCGTCTCGTCTCCGTGCGCCACGTCTCCATGCGGGCAGCAGAGCTCTTAGGAGTGGAAGAGCTTCCAGATGCATCTCCTGGACAAAGCGAACATGTCTCTGCATATGACAATTCATGAAAATATATGGGTGTTGATCAACATAATGGTATCTGAGGCAGCTACAATCGCCGATCAACCGCGAATCAATCGCGACCCCAACGGTGTCAATCGCGGGAGAGTGCTCTCGTATGCAACACTATTTTACGCAAAGAATCGTCGAAACATTGCTACATATCACAGTATTTAGAGACATGGCGTGAGCCAGGGCCTACACAGGCGGGTTTAACAATCGCGGCACAATCGCGGATCAATCGCGAACCAATCGCGGATGTCGTCGACATTCTTTTGAGAATTGAATTGATCTGGGCTGGTAGACTTTGAACTTTGCTGTTCTGATTCTTCTTTGCTATATTGGCTATCACTATTGAATGAACACAGTGTCTAGGCAAACCCGAATACAGTGTAAGGCTGAACTGTAACATGATTATCATCCCATATAATACTGATTTCTCCTCTTACAATGGTCGATTCTGATACAACAAATGTTTGTCTCAATCGCGAACCAATCGCCAATCAACCGCGATGCAGGGTTTTACAATCGCAAATGCTGAGATACACATGGCTTTCATAATTCTTAGATTTGCATTTACGATCGGCTCCCATATGAACATTCTCTTATTACATATGTCGTATTCTGATTCTAGACATTCTAGAATCTAGAGCTCTAAATGCAGCTGGGCTCGGCATACTGCAGTGAGCCACCGGCCGTGGCTGACACATGCCGATCCGAATGCAAAAAGTGTGCAACTGTTCGGCATCCAAACACATCCAAACCATGTTGGGAGGATTCCTGGTCTTGATCTATATGAGTGCCCCCCCCAAAACTCTACCAACACTCCCAAATACTCCCAGATGTCAGTGCCTCCGGATCGAAGGCGTGTTTCCGCCACGTTCCGCCATGCGGAACGTGCCCGGTGGCTCCTGGAACCTTAAGGACCCGATCCAAGAGCGCAGCCAATTTCACGTCGATCTCTGGATGTCCCGAGACATCACCTTGGCACCAGGGCTGCGGACACCCGGAAGCCGCCTGCTACGCCCGGAAGACGTTCCAAGGACTTGGACCGAAGCAGCTTTGGCTTCAACATGCGCCGAAATTGGGGCATCTTGGAACATCTTGGAATTCCATCTGTCGCGCCTGATTTGGCCAAGCCATTGCTCCGGAAGAGCTGCCGTAGCGCTTGGCTCGCTTGCTCCTTTGAACCTGGTGAGAGGCGTTCAGCGTCGGAGAGGTGTTCGGGTGGGCAGTTCGGGTTCGAATGCTATGATTTTCTAGCCTCAGTGAGTGAGCCGGCCGCCATTCCAAAAACATCCAAAATCGTGTCTGAATTGGGTTTCTTGATGCAACCACGCGATGGCAGCTCTGTGCAAGTTGCAAAGCATGATCGATGAAGGGGATCGAGATTTGCAATGTCATCCCGACTGAAGGTCCCACTTAAGCAGTGCCTACGATCATGGTCTCAGAGTTTTACGAGTCAGCCGAGTCAGCTTTTGCCCAGATCCCAGTCAGCTTGGCGCCTTCCGAACTCGGCTTGCCATTGGATGCAGACATGGCCACCAGCTTGTGCAAGGCCTTGCTTGCCAGGTCTAGTTCAGGCTTTGACAGAGTCCTGCAAGATCAGCAGGTACAGGATGTGGTAGTGGGTCAAAACCCAGTAATTACAAAATCTATCCAAATCTACACGAACCCCGCAGCCCAGAATGAACAGAATAGTCTACATTAGTCTACTAGCAGCTTAGGAGTGCTGCGTTCTTCACGGACTGCACATCGTGGTGTTGGAGATCGAGGTTTTGATCCACGACGTATGTGATGTTTTGTTATTTGTATGAATCTGGGCTCCACACAACCTTGGCCTTATCGAGCTGCTCTTTACCCGCCATGTTGCTCGGGTGACTCAGGTTGCTTGTGTAAGTCCCCCAGCTGCTCTCTGTCATCCCCCATGTCTTTGAGAGGGGCAGTGCATGGCAGTGCCAACCTCAAGAACCCTATCTTTCAGGGAAGTGACTCAGTCTGTGACATGTCTCAGTGGCTGAGAGGTCTAATTTTTTTGCCGTCTACGGAGCCCTGCGTGTTTCAACAGGCTTTGTGGTGATCTTCGCGAGTGCTGAAGGGATGGGCTGTGTGAGGCCCTCAGCTGAGTGCTTCGTGTCGACATGGTGGGGTTGAGCCACGTGCTTGCGACCAACCTCCTCGATCGATCGTCAGTCTTTGGCGGCTTCTTCGATACATCCCATGCGTCTGAAGACAGGATGCCAAAAACAGAACATATTTATAAACATACATAAACAACACTTAGAGAAACAGCTGCATAAAACGTGCACATATTCCATCATAAGCCTATAGAAACAAATAAGCTAAACTCATTAAGTCTCCCACATCGTGCCTGTGTTTGCATCGGCTACATGGTTCAATACAAATGCTTTGAAGAAACCTTGGTTGTCTTATCCAATTGCGACCATCTCAGGCGACTCGTCCGCAAACATCGCATCCACTTCGCAGCGAACATCACCTCCCCACAAATGATGCGGCCCTTCACCTCCACAAAGCCTCATGGCGAAACACAGCGAAACACTGCGGTTTGCAGCTGCATGATCCGAGTCTGGTCGACCGTTCAGCCCACCAGACATGGCTCAAGCGTAGAGAATGTGGGGATTGAAACATGCATAGCAAACACCAAAAAGTAGTCCAAAGTGATAAGGCATGGAGTGCTTACGGAGTGCACCCAACTGGGTGTTGTCTTTCTTTTCACTTTCATTTTGATTCAGCAACACCTGGTGCTCTGGAGTGTTCAGGATATCATTAGCTGCACCCGGCGCGCGCACTCTTTTAAGGTGGTTAACTGGCACCTGGCGTGCCATCTTTGTCTGGGCATGCCTGGGCTTAGTTTGGAGTCCTTGGACCCCAAAAGCTTGCTTCAAACTCCACTTGCAGGGATCACAAATCTTTAATTACAGTTATCTTGTTCCAGGCATGTGCCTGCATGGCTTTTGTCAATCTCTGCCAAGGGTTCTTGCTGACTTCTACTGAGTTAGTGTGCCATAAGCTCAACCCAAGGAATCAAAACTGCCCCCAGGCGCTGGGAAAATCTTGCTTTCGGCCATGCTCTCAAATGAAGCTAGATCGACTAGAGTTCTGAATGACAAGAATTTGAGGATCAACAGGAAACACACACATTCATACAGCCCTATATACATGCCACAGTTGGCACAGCCGAAAGTGGCCGATCGAACCCTCATAGCTGTCTTGACTATTTGGGTTAGGAGAACGTCCTTCTCCTGGAATCATGCGAGCAGTTCGCTTTTCGACTATGTTTTTGTATCGCTATTTCTGAGTTTCTGGAAGGAGATATATAACGGTTATATTTATAAGTCTATCAATAGCCTTCTTGAGTGCATGCTCATGTGCAGATTCTATAGTATTGCATGAGCATTTTCAGATTCATTCATGCTTCTCATTCTCATCAGATTGTTTCCCGCCCTTGGTCAAGCTAGGCCATCGAATTCACCACGTTTGCCGTCGAGGTCGCAGCGAAAAGGAGGAATAGGCCACCGCCAATATAGGTGAGCGTCTTTTCCTCAATAGGCATCTTGGATCTGTCTTAGGCCCATGTGTTAGGCATTACTTCAGGCAAACAAAAGTTTACGCTTGTTAGCCGTTAGCCTTCTTACAAAACACTCTTGAGGTCAGCGGCGGATCGAATTAACGTCTAATTTTCATGGCAGGTGTGGGACGGTCAATTATCACACCCTTTTAAATTTATAAAAATAAACGGCTTTTTGGGGTGACAAATGACCGCCCACACCTTCCCTTGTCTCATGGTGTAGGATTCTAGGGGGATAGGGTTGTCATGACAACTTTCATCTGGCCAGTGTAATTTAAGAGATTAACTGTTCAAAAATTCTCAGTGTTTTTCATTATCATTTGCGGCATCTCCAAAACTAGTGGCCAGCAGCAAAGTGCTAGAACGGCTACTGGTCCGCTTGCACCATCAACTCAATTACGAAAAAGCCTGAAGACAACTAATTACTCCATTGACATTCCAAGATCACCCACATCAAGACTACACTCACCACCCCGAAACTCACTCCCTAACCGTCTAGAGCCGATGTTGGCTCCTCAATTGGCCGTCTGACTCCTAAGTCACCGCCCGGCTTCTGATACGTAAGTGCTGATGAGATCGCCCAAAGCCACAGCCAGCAGCGTGGCGATGCTATGCGCGGCAATGGCTCCGATGAAGACGGCCACGCCGCCCTCGGGGCCGCCCTGGGCGCTCAACGCCGCGGCGGAGATGAAGGAGCGATCTCCGACTTCGGCGGCGAAGACCAACAAAAAGGCCTCAAGACGTGTGGAGGGACGGAAATTGGTGGATTTTGCTGCGCACATGGGTCATGAGAAGTTGTTCATTGCTTTGCCAATTCAAACATATTCAGGCCATCTGTGGGCTGTGCCAGCTGGCTCAATGATTCATTGCGGCAGAAAGGCAAGGTGGTTTGATTGTGGGAGATCTGGAATCTTGATGAATGATTTCCATCTCTCTTGTGCACTGATGAGTCTATTCGAGTCTATTCCATAGCCAGTCTTCTTTTATAGCCCTTCCCGGCCTGAGTGACCACTGCAGGTATAGCTAGCTTGGTCACCCACTCTGGCAAAGAGCTATTCACTGCTTCTTCAGCCTCTTCCTTTTCCTCTGCCAGAATACTACCGTCGTCCGGCATGGTCGAGGCGTCTAGGAGCAACTTCACGCCGAAGTAACCAAACCTCAACCACAACATGATGTGAAATGGAAGAGTTCCCCTGCACTTGAATCTACCACGCAAGCCATCCAAAATCGAACAATCCCTTCGCTTTCGACATCCCTCTCACGGCCCTGCGGCCGGGCCACGCCAGGATGGACGCATAGTCATCAATAGGAAGACCTCCTGCAGCATCTGGCACTGCATGAAAGATCTGACCGATGCTCACGGCAATGAAGGTCATCACTGCCAGGGCCGCAATGGCACCAATGAAGGTCAGCACCTGCAAGTCTTTGGGGAGTCCAAGTGAGGTAGACTCTTGATATCTCTTGATGAATAACCCCTCATTTGAGTTGTAAAACCTCTTCACATGGGAGGTTGAAGTACAACATAACCTCATCAAGAGTCTACATTAAGTATAGTTCAGCTGTTGACTCACCTGCGATTGAGTAGCACATGGCACCAAGGAGCTTTCCGTTACACCGCTTCACACACTGATCCGATCTGACCGACTACATTCAGCTGTGGGCCTGTATGAGTCGGTGAGCCACATTGGACTCAAAGGGGACTTTCGTGTAAAGGTACTGTACACTGACCATGTCTCACAAACCTTTGTCTTTAGCATTCTTTAGCTCTGGTATGCTCTGACACTTGGTCAACTTCACCACGAAGTATATCTGCATCCTATTCCACACATTCCACAAAAACAATAACCAACCAATTCAAATCAAGTCGATAGAATCGACCTTCTTCAATTGCAAACAGTGACTGAAACTGACACACACACACACACACACCATTCTTTCCATGCCGCCTTTTGACTAAGCCCTTCAGAAGCTGCGCTGCTTCCCGCTGCCAAAATGGCAGCAATGAAGAAGGTCTTGTCTCCGATCTCTGACACAAAGGTCAAAGCAAATGCCTGAGGGCAAACAACACATGTAATCTTAATCCAATACATTCCAAGGGCGTCCTGTGGCCCTAGTTCTCGCCCAGTGAGATTCAAAAGCCTCCTGTCTCGTGGTGTTGTCTAAGTCACGCCTGGACGATGGCATCAGTTGGGTTGATGGTATTGTCTACGGCCAACTCTGCTTGTGCTGCAGCTGGGGCCAAAAGCGCAGTCGAGGCCTCAGAATGGCAAACAGGTCAAACGGAGTCTACGGCGTGGATGTGTTCAATCGATCGAGCCGAAACTAGTAACAAGGGCATCGCTACTAGTCGCAAGGGCATTGCCACTAGTAGCAAGAATCATAACATACATTAAACATATATATATATGTGTATGTGTGTGTCTGATTGCCCAAAAGCAACCAATCGGTGGGCGGGGTGAAGGTGTCCTCTACGGCCGGGTTGGGCTGGGTGATGTGCGCTGCAAACACCATGGTGTTCTTTAAACAATGATTTCCCACCACCAACTCCTAAAAGTTCATGTCAATCTGTCCCCTCGTCATCAGTGCTCGCAGTGTTCACTCACGTGACTTCAGGCAAAGCGACGCCAGTGCAAGCCCAGATACAGCAATGGGAGCCCACGACGTGGGAGTGACAACGGTCGGTGTTAATCCGGCTGGTGGCACAAATCCTGCTGGCGTGGATTTGACCCACAAGAGTCAAACAAGATTTTGTCTATCATGCGGTTTGCGACTCTCATCTAATAAACAGCATGCCACTCAGTGACCAGTTGCTTTATAGAGAAAATCACGTGGCAGGCTCAATCTGCAACAGCTAGCAACCAACCGCTTGTCCATCTCTACATCATGATCATGATAATGATAGGTCAATCTCTGGGGCTCCCTAGTAGCATGCTCCCCAACTGCGGGATGCTTCTGAAAGGCCTCTTCCGAGGAACCAGCAAGCCGTGCTGGAGAATAGCACCAGAACGGCCCTCCTGCGATTAGCCATTCCCATCCTGAGCGCCAACATGGTCAGCCCGACGAATTGACCGGGAGCCAGAGTGGCAAGTACTAAAGCCACAATAGAACATCACACGAACATGTATATACTGTGCATATATGTCTTTTGTGCAGTCTTAGAGAGAGAGAGAGAGGAGGCCTCTCTCCTCTGAATGGTGATCAACTCAATTCCACTTTGGTCAAAGGAATCCTCAAACACCGGTTTGAACATGTCCGAGGAAGCATCCCATCTGCCACTGAACTATGACTCTTTATGACTCTTCGGGACCTGCCAATGAACTATGGCTTTCAGATTGCAGATGCTTTCAACAATCTATTGGTCCCTACATGTCCCTACCTTAGACTAGTAACTAGTAGAAAAACAAAGGCAACTCTTTTTAAACCGTGGATAAACCTATACGTACTTATGTTTTGGATTGTTTTGATGTGTTTATATTTTTTAAAATAACAAGGATCAACACATATCAACGCGACGATCACCACGTCATCTCTCGCCGAAGCTCGGCGCCGGTCTTCGTGTCCAAGCCATCGCTGCCGGGCGCGCTCTTTCGAGAGGCGGCGGGGAGCCCCTCTCGTCTGAGGGACGCACGGAGCCCAAAAACCATGAGAACAGCCAGGAAGCCCATCAAAGACAGAGTAGACCACATGTCAAATCGGACAAATTTGGGCATAATTAGGATGCCTTTGGGGTGGTTCATGATTCTGATCTGATGTGATCGTGCATGACATGACTCCGTTCAGCTGGACGATGGTCAAACGTCAGCAATTTCTTGGCCATTGTGCTTCACAGCCGTGCCCCCCCAAAAAGTTGGATATGATTTTCCACAGCAGGCAGGAGCTTGCAAGAAGTTTTGCCAGTAAGAGAGTAGCCCGACGATTTATACTGACGGCATCCACCAATCCAGTCATCCATCCCCGTTGGCACGTCCTACAGCTTCTGAACTGAGTTGCAGGCTCCCACCAGCTCGTTCGCAGGCTTCACCAGCCCCATCCAGCCTCAGCACGATGTGCGGGAAACCGTGCACGGTTGGGCTTAGCCGATCTACTTATCTTTCCAGGGCAGGGCCCGGACAGTGTCTAGTTCGAAGGGCCGACCGGTGGTACCAAACACTCAACGTGCAACGGGTGACATCAGCTCAACGAGGGGTCATGCTGACAGTTGCAGTTTCGCTCAAGAAAGAACTCTCCCGGGATGTACCGTCTGGGCCCTACATAGAGTGAGCTGGAGGCGAAAGCCTTGGCTCATGCCTCTTAGACCTCTTGGAGCCGAACTTCAAGTTGACATGCTGATAACAACAACTAGTGCAATCAGTGGCAAACTTGTGTTTTCCGATGTTCGACCAAAAAAAAAGCCTTATCAACAAATAGCATCTGGAAAAAAAAAAGAAAAAAGAAAACAAACAGCACAAGCAGGCTCAGGGCCACACGATACACGCTTGGCTTCTCCAGGCGGTAAAAGGTGGACCGGCCGTCCATGGATGATCCAGAACTTGCGCGTGCTGCCGCTGAGCGCAGCAGTGGGTGGTACGTTCACCCACGGCAAAGCAATTATGTTGGTCAGTTTGAGTCATATATATATATAGTGCACATTGCTGCGCAACCAAATGAAATCAGCATCCTGAGTCCATCTAAGTCCTAGCAGCTAAATACATTATGCTGCTTGACTGGTGCATGAAACCATAGAAGTTGCATGAAGTCATCGCCTGTTTGTACAGCAGGTGGCATGGCACAGGGGCCACACGCCTTGAAACATGGTGACGGTCAAAAACGCATGGCACGTTCCACGCTAGTCGTTTGTTGCAGCCTGCTCCGAGTTGAACCCGCATTGTCTCGTGTAAATTACCCATGTCGTACTATGGAAGAACACCGGCCGATAGAAACTTGGATAATAAGGTGACCCGCATATCCTGTTTGATCCTGTTAGTAAATGGTTTGTGTATATATGTATAAATACTTACAAATATAGTAGCATTTATATAGCATCCTTTACTTTAACTCCTTGTCTTGTATCAAACAGTGAGCCATTAACGCCATCAAGGTCTCATTAATCTCTGTGACGTCCAATGATCACTCGTCTCCGGTGCTGTGCCATGATGGATGAGTGTTTCGTTGTCTTTTTTCCTCTCTCTGACTGAGCCAAGGGCAGCTCCACCTCACAAAGAGAAAACCCCTCTGCACCCATTCCATGTATGATGACCTCAGGTGCCGCCCGTTGACGCGATAGCACGGCTGTTCCGTTGCTCGATCCAGGACACATCGCTGGTGGATCGATCCGGGCGCAGTCGGTGCCAACAACATGGGGACCCTCTTGAGGGAGTGGAGTGAGGCCGGCCTGGCTGGCAATTTGTGGCCGGATCTGACGCCGGGCTCTTAATGTTTGACCGACAGGTGCCAAACAAGTATCCCCAACAGGTGCCAAGGGACATGACGGACATGGAAATCGTTTGGTCCAAGCCACCCCACCCGCCAAAACAAGATGGAACCCAACACCACCCGCCCCTTGGAAGCTGGCTGCTCTCACTGGTCGCTCGGCGGCTTTGTTGGCACCTTGAAGGTGGTCGCTCGGCGCTCATCATGGCAGTGGTAGGACTACAAAACAACATATCTAAAGGCATGCCAAAATATGCCAAGCAACAGTTGCTTCGGTTGTACATGTCAAAAGTTCATTGTCAAGAATGAAGGGCATCTTGGCCCCATCTAACCCAATGAAGCGCAGCTCTCCCCGCACCACGTGACTAAGCTTGCAGCATTGTACTGGGAGAGCAGCGCCATCTCAACATGTGAGGCAAGTAGAATTAATTCTGTTGAAGTGGGCCCCCCCCTCCCCAAATTGAGAAATCTTAAGACCCAATAAGAACCCCTTGTCTTCCTTTCAGCCTTCGACTTCGACAGGTGCAATTCACAAGGTCCTCAACCTATCACAATGCACTGAGACAAAGGCTGAGATGCTCAGGAGCCGAGCCACACAACATTTCTTCTCCATCAGCCTCGCTCAAACATCACAAGATAAGCAACTTCAACATCCTTATGCCTCCTTCTGCCTCCCATGGTTTTGCGCCAGGGCACCGACCAGAACAAGCACCACGTGATAGGTCACGGGGTCTCGCGAGGTCATTGTGGCATAAGCACCTCGTCAAAGAAGCCCATCTCTGCCGACATCCACATCAGGGCAAACAACCACAACAGTCCCCAAGCGGACCAACCATGGCAAAGCATGACAAAAGACATCAACAAAGCTTGGCAAATTTCTGGCACACTCGCCTGTGAACAGCATGGCTCGAGAAACCTCAAGAACTGCAAAGAGGTTGCCCCTGCTAGAGGTATATAATATATATATATATACACTGTGTGTGTGTGTCCCACCCTGGACAAAGGGTTTTTCCACCACCACCACTCCACAAGCAGGGGCGTGCAGCATCTGTGGTCCACTGCACGCAACGAAGCTACGACCACAGATGGGAAGGGATCAAGGACGCTTGATCCTGTACCTGCAGAATAACACATTGACACCAATGGTCCACCCTGCTGCTGTTCGTTGGTTTCATGGTTTTTCCTCATGATACCCTCCCAAAAAACAGGTTTCCCACCGCCACTTTTGCAGCTGCTTTGCGCCGCTTCGTCACCGCAGTCAAGGGAAACAACTTTTGTTCAAACACCTTCAAGTTTCTCGGACTTTTCGCCATGCTGTTCCACCGCCATTCTTCCCAACGTGGTAACTGATTTCACTGAATACAAGTGTCAGAGTGTGTATGTTTTGTTGGCTCTTTGGTTGTGCTTCATTTATGGCAACCCCGCACACGCACACACACCAACCAGATCAGGTGCTACACTTCGGTGTAATTGTCCAAGGGATCAAACACTGACTAAAGCAAACCTACTCAAATGAGTCGTCCACATCTTAAAGTTACTTTCCTTGTGCCATCTTGTACGTACATAGTTTACGGCGGACGCTTGAATACATGCCCCTGAGCTAGTGGCCATATATTCTGCATCAAGCTCCGCTCGCCACGGTTGCCTCACAGTGGGGACAGTCGGGCCTACTCGGGCCTACTCTTCGGTCCAAGTCTGTTGAAGCAACCTTTGGCAAAATGACCTTCTTCTTCTTCTCCATCGCCCTCTCAAGAGTTTAGCCGTTAGCTAAAGGCGAGCACACAACCCAATGATATTCTTTTTAATCCTTTAGACGTGTCATAGTCGCTTAAACAAATCTAACTTTCCCCTCTGACTTGGCCAGAAAAAAGCCCGCCGTGCAGCTGCGCCTTGTAACACAGTGCTCTCGGCGGTAGTCTCCATCCTTCGTGGGAAAAAAGACGGCCAAAGCCACTGGTCTGACGTCTCTCGCCAATCACTGGTGGTTGACTTCGCGCGGTCAATGCGCGCGCGCCAGTTGCGCTGCTCACTGCCAAGTGCTGCACGACTGCCAAAGACTCATGCTGCTTCGAATGGTGGGTGGCCCACAGCAGCCACGGCCTGGTCGCACGGCCGCTTTGACCAGCCAGTCGGCTTCAAAGCCCGGCACAGTGTCTCAGCCCGGCCTTGCTGGGGCACAGTGGCGGTTGCTGGATGCCACCTCATCAGTGTTACAAAGGGAACACGAAGCTTCTCCCAGCAAAATGCAGGTTCAAATTTTTTTTGAACTGTGGTTTGCCAATCCAAAAATGCAAATGCCCCCCCCACCCACACACGCACAGCCTGTGTCACACAGCACTAGGTCATTGGCATTGCCCATTGGCAGCCATACTGCCTTTTCCGCATTTGCCTGCCTCTCATCGCTGCCGATCTTCATCAAGCAGCGGCCCCGCCACCATAGAACCACTGCAGCTGGCATGACCTGAGCCGGGGCCACTTGTGCCCACCTGACGTCTTCAACACGTCGGAACCTTGTCGAATCTGTTGTCGTCTTGCAGCGTTCTGTCCACTAGGGTAACTCCCTTGTTTCGCAGCAGTTCAGTTCGCACGAAAACCGCATCACAGCTCCAGCCACTGCTGGAGCTGTGCGCGCACACCGGCGCAGTCAGGTACTCTGTCTGTGCATGTGCACACTCGTGTCCTGAAGCACTGCGCTGCATGTCAACTTTGCCAAAGCTTGGGAATGCATACTGGCAGTCCAATGTAGCACATGCACACAGTCTTGGTGGAGAAGGCGTCTTTTCATTGTCTGTTGTCGTTTTTGTTACGGCTGCGGTATGGAAGGAAATGGGTCATACCATGGCGATTGGACTGTCTCAAAGGGAAGCACTACGTGGTGGACGATGTATGCTGTTATTTCAAAACTGATGTTCTGCACTTCTAATCTCATGCTTCCGCTGTCCAAGTTTTGTCTCTCCAGGTTATCGCAAGAATTCAGCTAGGTAAGCTGGGATTGTTCAGAACTAATGGAGTTTTATGTCGCCTGACCTCCTTTGATCTCTCACATCCTAGCAGTACTTTGGCAGTATACTTGTCAGGCCCTTGCGCAATCAGGACTCGCATCACCCACATAGCTGTCAGGGAAGTAGGAGAAAGCTTTGCACTCCTGCGTGTTGCAGTCAGATACTCTCTTTTCTGATCCAACAGCCTGCTGATGAAGGCCTCCCAAGGAAAAGTCCCGTAACAAAGCTGAATATGTGGACAAAACCTCCTCACTCACTCACTCACTCACTCTCTCTCTCTCTCTCTCTCTTGTTCTATTCGCTTGTAAGTATGGTTGTTATATCTAATAGATCAAATGACGTTCTATATACATATACAGATACAGTATATACAGTGTGTGTGTGTGTGTAACTAGTGTGAAGCCATGGAAACCTATCCATCACCCAGTGTTCACATCTATTGGCACCAGGTCGGTGGGTCCTCCTTCTCCTGGCACCGTTTTCGGCCTGGGCAAAGTGGCGAAACTGGATAAACTAAACCACCAGGACATTCGCAACCATCCTCTACCGTACAGATTAGCCATAACAGCGCCACAGCACTATATATAGTTTCTATTGCAGAGACAACGACCACCATGATCTGGCATCTTGTAGCAGAAAGCCCGCTCTTAGCCCACTCAGCTCTGCGCACACAGCTATGCTGGGAACTTCTTTCAAGAACGCCACATCCTGGAGGTGACTTACATGTTGCAATATGTTGCATGATGTTGCATGTTTGTCCGTCTGGCGTGTAACAGCCAACAACCCAAACATGTGAACAAATCAAAGTCAGTCCATCTTAGCTTCTTGTATCTGTCCTGGTCTTTCATATTTTGGACTCAGTTCAGTTCTGTGGTTGCATAACAACGGGCACCAAAAGGAGCAAAATAGCCGACACACAATGGCCGACACCAGGTTCCGCAGTGTATCAATGAGACAACTCTGCTAAACTAGGTGTGCCGGGATTGGTTGGTCCTGCCCAAGCTGGTCAACTCCATACCGCACGCAGCCATCTGACGGGGGAGAAGGCACACTCTGGTCAAATGCTACAACTACACATCAGTTGTCATCAGAATCATCACCATCAATCAGCCTTGACCGATTTCATCCGTTTGTTTTCATGATCCTGCCCTCCTCCTCATCGTTGTGCCACTTAAGCTAGAATGCGACAACAATGCCGCATTTGATTGCCTGGTTGCTAGCCAATCCTTCTCTCTTTCCCTCCTTATCTTTCTGACGCCCCGATGTGGCTGCCACAAAACCGCAAAAGCACAGGGAAAGGCCTGGCTCTTCACAGTCACGATAACCCCAAACGATACCAGCATGCAGTGATGGGGGCGCCTCGCAATGCCCAAAGCTACTACACAATGTTGACATGGGGACGTTGCAATTCCAGTGATTACAGCTTTTCGTGACAAAAAACAACCTGTGAAGCTGCAATATGACATCCTTCTGATAAGATGGATCATTCTATGGTCTCTTGACTCAATTTCTCTCAGCAAAGCACCTCCAGTGTGGCACGCAGCACGCACGCCTTGGCTCACAGGTCGTCTCATGTTTGAACTAACCTGGCTCGTTCCCCGCCGGAGACCAGGACCCCAACACGCCGGAGACCAAACATCGCCGCCAATGGAAGCCTCGTGTGGCAGTCTGACCAGTGACATCCAGTGACCATGTCAGGTGGGCGCGTGATGACCGGGCGGAGGACTCCGCCTGCATCCAATGGGCTGCCAATTTGCAGGGAAGTAAGTCCAACCACCTGCCAGCACCGATCCAAAACCAATCAGGCCCATCCTTACACACCCTTTCCGTGAAGTTGAAGAAATCACAAGAAACCCATCTTACACCGACTCCGACCATGGCCCTTGTCAGTTGTTTGTCAACGCATGTCAGCATACATGCCCCTGTGCATTGTGCAGCATATGGATGCATTCAGGCCTTGTGCTGCTTTTCAGAGGCAACATCTTCCACTGATTCTTCTGCTCTGAATCTGAGGATTACAGCTTTTTCATTCTCCGCTGAATTCTCTGCGCTGCGCACCGCATGCGCCATCCTCCTCGCATCGACCGTGGCACTGGGCGGCGCCTGGAGGTGGAGGCGGATACTGTCAACTCACGAAACAAATTATATATTCAAGTAGCGTCCTTGCTATGTTCGGAACAAAGGGCATCGCTACTAGTAGCAAGAAGCTACTTGTAGCTCCTGGCTGTACTACTTGGAGCAAATAGCTACTAGTGCTTGAACAAACATCAATGTTTTTCGGGAAGCCCGGCAAACTTGGCTCATCTGAACATCACATGATCTGAATGTTTCCACAACTGACAGCTGCCGTGATGGTATTCTGTTGATGCAGTGTCAGTGTTGCGAGGACGTCCTTTCACATGCTTGCGTAGCACATATCTGTTGGACTTGGTGCAAGGCTGTTCATTCGTGGTGGCTCGAGCCTCAGGCTCATTCTGTTGGATGAGGATTCAATAACAACGCAAAGATTCCCGCGATTTTGGAAGTTACGGTGGAGGTTCCAAGACTCGCCAGTTGTGGTGCATCTCCTTGATGCAAGTTTCTGATGCTCAGCTCAGCTCGAGAAGTACTCATGTGCCCATAGATCTGCACCTTTTGCAAGCACCCCAGGCAAAGGTCATGGCGAAATGAACAAACCAAAGTCAGGAAAAGCGACACAAATATTGTTGGCAAAGGAACATTGCAATTTAAAGTGGCCAAACTAGCGTGACCAAACTGGTCATATGTTCAACTGGTCGCCCAAAATCGCAAACCTGCATGGCAAACCAGCCTCGCTGCCAGCCACAACCAGCCCAACGTCTGGAGGCAGGATCGCAGCACCTTGCGTCTGACCACATCTTCACGTAATGAAAGCGCCGCACAATGCAGTTCATCGTGCTGACACCAAACATCCCGCACCCCGTGATGTTTAAAACGTGTCACTCTATACAGTGCTGGTGTCGTGCGGTCCAGGCATTTCCAGGTTCTGCATAGTTCTTTCATCAATAGTGGGTCACTACCTTCTGAGGATAAGATCATAACTAGCCAAGGATAAATTGCACAGCTTCAGCTCATGTGCAAGTAGCAAATACTAAGTGCATACAATGTACACCTTCTTGCTTCAAAGTTCAATCAAATAGCTATTTGCCACTAGCTCCTTTTTCCCTTGGGCCAATGCTTCTCATAGTTCATCCAGCCAGCCTTAGCGTCGCATCGAGCGGTTAGCGTCACGCCGACAGGACGGACCCTGTGAGCGGCGCACCCAGCAAGCAGCATCTCCAGAAGGACCTTTCGACAGGTCGCAACCTCAGCACCAACCAACGATCAAATGATTGAGTTCCTCACATGATGTTTTTAGAATCACTTACCACGTGGCCAAGCAAGGAGGTAAAGGACGGCATTGTCTTGGCGTGTCTTTGTTTTACATGTTTTTGGAGGCATGCTGAGTACCTCCAGCTTCTGGCCACAACCACATACCCACATTGATGCTTTGCATTCCAGAGCAGTTCAGGGTTTTCGAAACCTCTGAACCAAAAAACATGGAAGCGCTTGGGAATGCTTGGGCCTTCTCCGTTTGGAGGGGGACATATCAGCGGCATATCTGTCTTGATTCTGTGAAGGCTGCTCGAACAATCAGCACAATATTAATATATATATATATATGCAGGTGGAAGCTGCTCAATTACAAGGACCAAGTTCCTGTGAACTCCCAACATGAACCTGAAAAACAATTAGCGATGTTCATTCATGTTTGATCTGCCGAGGTTGCGACACCGTGCGCAGCTATGAAGTTCGTCGAAACATGGTGCGACCACATCCTGGCGTCGCGTCAACGGCCGCGTCGGCAGGCGAGCGCAGCGGCGCAGCTCCTCAGCTTCACACGGCGTTGGCCTTGGGGCCGTGCGACGTGCAGCGGTTGCAGCGGTGAACTTTCAATTATTTGGGTGAACTTTTGTATAATCCTTCCTTGTTACTAATTAGTAACTTCTTGTATCTTCTTGTTACTGGTAGTAATGGCCTCCAACCTACTAGCGATGGCCTCCAACCTAGTAGCGTCTTTGTTACTCATTTCAATTTTGCGAGATGCTATGGACTTTGGACGATTTACAGTCTTTTCCTTCAGTCTCGCAGGTACAAGCGAGGAGTGAAAAGTGTAGGAAAACATAAAACCGCCCATTTCAGGCTCTGATCATCACCTGATCATATCACCAAATCACTTCAGGCTCTTTAGTGCCGCTTCAACCTTGTCAACCTGGGTGACTTCTCCGAAGTAGAGCCCCACCGCACGCTTGTGACCTGGTTGTGTCTGCGGCTGATTGATGAGGTCCAGCGCTTTCTGATGCCAATCAGTGTTGAAGGCAGCACAAGCATCCTGCACCAAGCAAACCGAAATGAAGCGATCCACAGCCTGTGATGCCGTGGCGAATACGCAAACGTTGGTCAGCACTCCACCTAAGCAAAGCATGCAGTCAGAAGCCCAGTTCATAACATGGGGAAAGGCGCGAAAATCCAGGAAAGCCATATAATCTTGATCCATGGACTATGGACAATACATGAATACTCCTGCAATCTCCTGCATATATTCAACCTACCAATCTTTGTTCCCAAGAAACGTCTGTCCACAAGATTTCTGTCTAACTCGCAAGGCTTGCTTCCAAAAAAACGTGCCAAGCCGCAAAGCAAAATTCGTTTGACGCCTCTGGCCATCAGCTCCCGCTCCAAAAAGGTCGATGCAAAGGCACCGAAGGTCCACTTGTCAACCACAATCTCGCCTTCTCGTGCGCGGAACGTGGGATGAAGTTCATATCCTTCATCATCCGTGCCCACCTGGGTGGGAAACAAAGGCCACAACCAGCAACAACATATACATTTAGACCAAGCCGCTGCAAGAAGCTGCCGGTGTTCTAAACCGTCCCTTCCGGATCCTTCCGGTCGATTTGTGCTCAATCAAAGACTAGAACATCACATACACACATTCATGCAAAATTCCAACCCCTGCGCTATGATCCATCCCTCCCACATACGTCGTACACTTGTGCTGAAGCGAAACAGCTAGCTGCTAGCTGCTAGCTATCCGACAAACTCTTCTTGCATGTGTGGCACACTGCCAAACGAGCTCAAACAGCGGGTAGCATACATCTACTTGCGAACGCAACTGCTCCAAACAAATCACCAACACTCCCATGCATTCTCTATACCTTTTGTCAAGGCCTTCCAGTGCACAAACGAGAATTGGGAATTTACATACTTCCCACAAAGGAAAGCCAATAAATCCAACCACAAAGCCGAAAAGCCAAGAAAGCCGATGTTCGGCAATGGGTTCAACCATGTTCAACACTGTTCACCAATAGTTCCTCACTTACCTCCCTTTGAAACGAAAAAAATTAACATGGAATAGCATGCAGGGCTTGGGGAAAATCTTCAAGTCGATCACGAAGCCATGGTCATTCCTGGCCCAGGTGCCAATTCTGACCGCACCAGCGAGCCATAACGGCTCGAGCGGCTGTGTGCGATGGTGAAGCCGGCATCGCGGCACATCTTCAGGAGTCGTTCGCAGCCCGGCATGCCCGAGCGCACAGCGGTGAGGTCTTTATAGTGGCCTCCCACACGACCATTGGGCTCTAAGAAGTCCGTTTGCATGTCAATCAGCACCTCCAACCGTCAAACGAGCAAAACCATGGAACACTCACTGTATGTAATTATATATGTATACTGTATAAGATTATAACCGTATCTGTATATAAGACCATGCAATCCACTGTCCGCTGTGGTAGTCTGCTGTGATTGTTGCTTTCTTTCATGCAACCGGTTGCTTGCAGGGTGGGTACAGTTGGAAGACAATGTGTGGCCAAGTCTGTGCACATTTACATATCAATTATATATATATATATTATATCGTAAATTCATAATAGAATATAATAGAGCAATGCTATGTGGTGTTGCGAAATGCGATGCTGTGCTATGTGGTGTCCCGTCCTTTGTTGCATCAACATTGGGATAGGCTCTGGTTGTGTAAGCCCGACATGTTGACTAAATGCATCTATAATATTGCTTTTTCCCACCTGCCAACAACAAGTGCTGCTGAGGTACCAATGCCGTGTCCTTGGGATCAATCGGAAACGACCTCTCGCCGTTGCACACGATCTGCGCGACGCCCGGAAATCCATCCGGTGAGGCCATGATGGCGTCTGCGCGCTGTCGGGCGGCCTCTCGATAGCACACATCACCGGGGGAGGGAAAGGCCATCCAGCAGGCATCTTTCTTGGCCTTTTTGGAGCCATTCTCTTCCAACAAAGCCTGCAAATGCTTGAAAGGATCTGCTGGTTTCTGGTCCTCGATCTCTGCAAGAGCCTTTGCCAGGAAGTCCTTCAAGCCATGCTCCTAGAAGGGGTCGCTCCCTCCCTCCGTCCGTCCGTCCCTCACTCGCTCGTCATCACCAACAAATCGAAATCTGCACAAGTGTGGTTGGGGGCGAGAAGGAGGCCAAGCAGGTTCGCTCGACGCTATGTACAGTACAAACACCCAATTAAATAGACTACCAATACCTTTTGGACCTATAGATTTTCTCTGTAACTCCCTTGCGTGAACCAAAGCAATTAAACACTAGTGTTAATTTGCTCAATCTGCAAACATTTGGCTGCCAATCCATGCTCCTCAATGTACGTACCACCACTGATGGTGATGCTTTCTTCGATCTTGGCGGCAGGTCGCTTCTTGGGCGCCATCGTTTTGCTGCGAGATTGGGCAAAGTGGGAGGGCTCGAGCAAAGCAGCTAAACTCAGAGTTTTGAGAAGAAAATGCAATCCCCGCAAGATCTTAGTCACAGTAACTGAGATCATCTGTGCCAAACAGGGATGAACAATTGTAAAAGCATTGAATGCTGAGTTCAAAAGCCACCTCTGCAACAGTCTGTGGCGTCTGCCCGTAGTTTTGGGCCCTGTAGCCTGTACACTGCGTACTTCAATACCAGCCAGTCATGCAACAGGTCAAACAAGGTATATAATAGTATCTGATTAGCAACAGGGCCTTGGTTGACATTTCCCCCCAACAGTCTCCAGGATTCCCAGCCGCTTCCACTCTGCTGGGGCGAGCTGAGGCTGTAGCCTCACTTGTTCTGGTGAGCAACAAAGTAGGCCCGCTTCCCCCATCTTCAACATGCAGGACCAATGTAACACCCTATACTAGAGCAGTACCTATAGCTTATAATTAGCACCGGAAGAAAGAAAACACCCCCGCGGATCTGAGACCTGCACAAGGATGCAAAATGCGAGAGCTGGGAAAGGCTCCACAGTGGATCATAGGCCTCAAATGGCTGTGGATTACGACCTCCCCCTAGACCAGGACTTCTGTTTCTTTTCAGATTGTTTAGTGCCCACCAGGGGGTACCAGGGGTATCTTTGGTGAATCTATATGACTACTTGAATCTCAGCTTCTCTCTGATGCAACACCTTCTTTCAAAATTAAACAGGCAGTATCACGTTTGCAAGTCGGAGATCGCCGCGCAAAAGGTTCTCAAACTTTTTCTCAGCGATATCTCGTGCCAGCAACGAGGTTCTCATCGTTGGTCCCCTCGCCTGACGGCAGCAAAGTCTTGCGAAAACATTTGATCCGTTCCATGGGTAAGTGGTTCGTGATGATCCAAGAAATCAGTCGATCCCTTCATGTGCCCACAAAAATCTTACCCTTGTTCACCACACTTCTGCCTGCGTGTTGCTCTGCGACCTGCATGCCAGCGCCACCAATGGCCAGCAAAAGGCCTGACACCAAGGTCCTCTGCCCAAGCCTAGCCGATTGGCCAATGTACCAAGTCACTTTACGGCTGGCGAGTTGGATGATGGGTGCGGCGTATTGCATGACTGATACCCCTGCCTTTGCAAAGCTTCTGGTGGGCCTTCTGGCAATGACTTCAGGTCATGTAAGTGCGAAGGCAAGGCGCACCTGGAAATATCTCCATCCTGGCCAGAAAAGAACGAGCAGTCATCAAACCTAGTGTCAAATCCATTGTACTGTTGGTCGGTTTGTATAGTAGAACATACTGCCAGGACCCCACCAAGGTTGGAGACCTTAGGAGCAAAATCGCAAACCAATTTTATCAAATTTTGGTCATTCGTTCATGACTCAAATACGTCTACGGCTACAGCCAACGCACCACTCACTCTGCTGAATGTCTGCCAAAGTGAGCAACAAAAGTCATCAACTCAAACTACCCAAGTCCTACCCTGCCAGCATGCAAAGTCTCAGCATAGATGACTTGAATTGTTCCCGCACAGCCGTAACCCACTCCTCGGCAAAGGGCCAGCATGCCTTTCACTCGGAAGCATCAGGAGCCACAGCTACCCATCCATGCTGCATGTTTGACGACCTCTCATGTTCTGCGTTCACTAACCTAGTCCCAGCTGCGTCCAAAAACCTCGTAAACCATTGTTTGATATTTTCAAAGTTTCTTGACGAGATGTTTTTGCCTCCTCGCGAGGCTGCAAGTCCTCCATGACCAACACCTAGCAAAAGCACAAGCCGTCCCTTGCCATGTTCATGGCGAGCGGAAATCAACCGAAACTGCTAGCATCTGCTAGTAAAAGCATGAAGGAATAGGAGAGCAACATTTTTGAGAGGCAAACTGATAACCTATATGATAGCCTGATAGCCTAAGCAGATTCTCCAAGCTCGAGTGATTCGGCCTTTGGGCTTCTGATCAAAGCAGCCAGCATAGAGGCGTCGGTGGAAGTGCCCTGCCGCAGGTGACCGGCCCAAGCGCAGGGGGCTTGGGCCGGTCCAATGAGTAGTTTTTCATCTCTCCGCCACCCACTGTCGCCGGGCTTCAGTCCTCTAATGAGTTTGTCAGTAAATTTGCTCAATTAAGGGACGGCGTATATCGACATATTAATCACGTTTGGTGGTGTCCACTCACCCGGAACAACCCCAAAAAACCCGAGTCACTGAAATAAACCTCATTCCATCTATGGTCGGTTGCACCATCTGGCGGCCATGGCCCGTCTTCTTGACCACACCAGGGCTAGTAATTAACAAGGACGCTATGCTCGCTGGAGGCCATCGCGCTTGTAGCTTGTGTTTCCATTCTTCTATGAACGGAACAAGGTTCGCTACGAACGTAGCTGGCGAAGACGGACGGACGCGCCATGTCCGCTCGGACGGACGCGCGTCTAAAAGATCCATGTGCAAATGCCCGCGTCGATCGACCTCGGTTCCACGTCGGTGTGGAGCATCGGTGAAGAAGGACGAACGTGACGTGACTGGCTAGTGATTCCACTTCTTGGTGTTGAGGCTCAAAGCCCAGCTCAGCAGTTTCTGGATATAGAATGATATAGATCTGAGGCAGGATCTCGATTTAGTCCACCTGACCAGGTGTGGCGAGAGGCTGTGCATACTGAGCTCTGCCATGGCTCTGTGTGTCAGTCCGGCTTGCCCCAGCGACTGCGATCCATTTTCCTTCTCCAGTCTTGCAAGTCCGCATGAAGAGCGTGTGGACCATGGAATCTTGACCGATACATAATAATGACATAAAATTACAGTACTTGTGATCGTCTAATCCAATATGATATATAAATATATAGTATTATATAGTATATAGGATTATATAAGCATCTCATCCGCATCTGTGGCTGATGGTGGCTATGAAATGCCATGTCTGAAGTGTGCGAAATCATCAACACCTGCCACCCGCTGTCTACCCAGTGCCTTCACTTGCCGGCAGTGCGCACAGGTCTGCAAGGCTGCATCGATGGTCGCTGCGAAAGCCCGACGAACGCAGGAGGGGCTTGGTCTTCTTGGGCTCCTGGATGGCTTCGGTGACAACCCCTTGACTCATAGCAGCCGTTTACAAATAAAGAAGCTTTTCGGCTTCAATATTATTTTCTCTCTTCGAGAAGCGAAGTGTTTTGGGCGGGGTGCATCTGTCTGTTTCCAACGTTTCACAAAGCTCCTCCAAAACTAGATGTCGGACGAGGGCTGGACCAACCACCTGAAGCTCCTCGCACATTCAACAGGCCGAAAGGCTTTCGCATACGCTCAGCAGTTCAGCACGTGTCTGAGATCGTTTCTGGCAATCTCGTGCACAGTTGCTCCAGCATCTGGATCTGACTCAAAAGCTCCACACTCGCTTGCACAGCGGCGGGTGTGGCTGCGGAAGCAGGTCCTGACGCTGATGGAGTCTCCAAATGCAAATTGTTTGTAGATTAATTAATTACATGGCTTCATTCTCCAAAGGTCCTAGTCAAAAACTCCACTGCTTCCTGATGTGTTTTTTGCAAAATGCTACAGTTCGCTCGGCGAGCTGTTCTGTCGGACGTTTGAACACACACTTGTCAAAACGCCGTCCTTGTGGTGGTCCTGTAGCCACAGCAGCTTCCTGGGATGGGAAGAAAGCCCATTTCTTTCGAGGCCAAGAATCGTCAATCTCTTTACCAGATTTCAGTGGATGATGATGGTTAGTAAAGGCCTTTCTCTAAAATAGTGATAACTGTTGACTGAGTGTTGCAGGTATAGTCGGACCTGCCCGTGCATTTCCCAGTTCCCGAACGCCAGAGATATCTGTGAGGTCAGGGAGGTCTCTCCTATTGCACACCCATACCTCTCTTGGACACATCATGACAAATCGCCCTGGCCTCTTCAGGCTCCTCACCCATCGGCACGTGAAGAAACATCTCCTCATCTTGTGAGCATGATTGCAAGTGACAGCAATGGCATGCAACGCATTCACCAAAAAAAATTAACCAAACATGCTCAAAGGCTGGCAGAAGAAGGATTTCTTTGGCATTGGTCCATTGGCGTTATAGTATAGTTTGTGCGAAACCTCCAATGTAAACAATGTCTCAGCAAAGCATCTTCGACAAACGGCGCCGACAGCTGCCTGCGGCCAGAACCAATGGGAACTTCATGCTGACATTGACTTGAACGTATAAGCTTTGAGCATAAGACTTGATAATAGACAGCCTAGACTCTAGACTCTAGACACAACAGCTTTGAGCATGAAATCATACCACTCTCGCATGGAGAAGCGAAAGTCCTCATGTTGAGTGAGGACTTCGCTATGGGCCTCAATCTCGAAGGTAACCACAAGAGAAATGCGAGCGCGGCAGCACCTACACACATAACCACACATGAAACGACAGTGGGGCAAAGAATAAGTCGAAGGCACCATGCATGCCGAAACTTCTTCCAATGCAAGTTGACTCACCAGAATCGAAATCTGGATGATGATGATGATGATGATGATGACCATTCACCTGGCACTGCCGCCCAGGAGGAGAAGCCAAGCCCGAGGGCAGCTCCCGAAAAACCCAGCACGCTGCCGAGCACGCCTGAGCCGGAAAAAACCAAGCGTCCGAGTCCAATCACGTTCACGGGCCGTCATGGTGGGTGTCCGTCTTGGTGTCCGTTCCTTTGTTGCTTTTTGTTGTTGTTTTGTTCCTTTTTGTTTGTTTGCCAGGCGGATTCTGTTACATCATGATACAATGACTATGATGATCATTCAGTTATGAGATCCAACGCAGGTTAACCCCTGTAGCATCAGGTCATCGAGGAATCGTTAGCCCATCTGAGTGTGAGGTTCGGTCTATGTAAGCTTCTGACGTGTGGCTGTGGGAATATTGTCATACAATGTTGTAGGGGTATCTTTGTTACGTCCCCTGTCCTTTGCCGGGGTTGGGGTTCCTATGTGAATGTAACAATCTAAAGCATTTGTGATGAGTGATGATCACATATTTTGACGGATTTTAATCCGGCTACGGCTAGGGCTCAAAAACGGGTGCCAGCCAAAACCCCTTGTAAAGAAAGCATCGACTAAAACATTCGCGGTCTACGGTTTGAGCCAAACTCCTATGAATTGCCGCCCAACTCCGCTGCTGAGATCCTGGCATTTCCGCCAGCTCGACAAAGCTGTGCTTGCCAAAGGGGTGGAGCTCTGGAAAACGCGCACCTGCGCCAAAAGGCAAGCATGTCCGAGTCCGAGAAACATAGATTTTAAAGTGACTAAAACCATGGTTAAAACATCTTGAAACCATGGTATATGTCCAGCATGATTCGGAGGTCACTTTCATGAGGTGATCTATTGCTGGCATTTTCCAAAGGGATCGTCCAACATCGTCCAACATATTACCCAGCCAAAGCCAGCAAACAGCACAATGAATCATTTTCGGTTCTGTTTCGAGCAGGTTCCGACTCACCAAAACAGCATCAGCCAAAGAATTGTCAGCGATAAACAGGTCAAAGAACGTACACTTGCACTCAGAAGTCGATACATAAATATCCTTAATACATCTTGGCATCAAAAATGTCCTGCGATCAAGCATATTCAAACATGATCAACCTCTCACTCATGATGCGATTGGTGCATGCACATCGTTTTGCGACCATCCCGGGAACTGAGAAGATCTAACAAGAGCAACTTCATGCATCCCTATAGGGATTCCACCTTGTATGTGTGAGATGCCAGGTCCAGGTCATTGCGCAAAACGAGGGAACTTGACCACCTGCGCCTCGCCCACCTGCGCCGACTGTGACACCCCTGGAGTTGCCAGCTCTTCGCAGCGTTTCTCTAGGAAAAACACCAGAAAATGCATGTTGATCCTAGTCACGTGGTGCCAGCCCAAGCGACCGAACTCCAAGCTTTCGGAAAACGCTTCTGCGACCGATGTCCACCGGCACCTGGTGGATGCAAGGCACCGCCGCGGCGACCACGGGGAGACCATCTTCGAGTTTGGAGCCAAGCTCTGTCGGCCAATCCCAGTGAGTGGGGTACTGAAGTATGACTCAGTATGACGCTTAATGACTAGTGTGACACTAAGGCAGTTCAAAAAGGAGCGCCCCTTTGTAAGTAACTGCGGATATCTGTGAAGGATACTCTGCATTCAACTGCCATTGAAGCAAATGTACTTTACTGTGAGTCATGTGTCACTGTGTGGTCTGTCACTTTCTTTGTTTGTTGGGAGAGTCTGGTGTGTGGGTAGTTGCGGTAGGCAGTATGCAATCTACGCTGCAGTAAGTTACACGTTGACTCTGTCAACGGCCTGCGCGATGCATGCACAAAGTGTCCGAAAGATGCCTCTGGACCCCACGCATACAGTTCGTGAAGTGTTGAGGCCACTACAGAAATTCGCAAGAAGGTGCGCACCACCGATGAAACCTCAACCACAGCAAATTCATATCAAAAGGAACACACTTTCGCTATCAAGTGGGTGAACAGTGAAAACAAACACCACCAAGCAAACCGGGACCATCCAATGAGTCATCAATGAGCTACAGTATACCAGCTTTCACGTGGATTCCAACAAGAGACTCCTCGTGCTTTTCGGAGCTCTTCAGAGGCTGGGCAGAATCCAGGCCTCAAACAAGAAAGAATTATATATATAATAGGGCTGGGTTTGATGGGTCTCTTGGGGGAAGTTGAGAAGAGTAAGTAGGAAACTCAGGGAGAACTATATATAGAAAAAACACCCTTAGAATATTTTTCTGCGTGAAGCTTGGCAAACTCTTCAACAAACCTATCCTCATAATGTATGATGATCTGTCCTCTGACTTGCTGACATTCGTAAGTGGTCTTTCATGAGGTTCTAGCGCTGAATGGAGAGCTTGTGCATCGTAGTGGATCACCGTGCCAGCGGGATATCGTATTGGCATCCTGGCATCAATTGTGTACAAGCTATAGTCCGGAGTAACCCTGTGGTTCATGGTGGTTCGCAAAGAGATTGGAACAATTTCTACTCCATTTTTGCAGAATAGTTTATGTATGTATTTTTGATTATTTTTGTACAGCTCATAAGGCTCATAAGATCTTACAAAACAAGAGATGTACTATTCCTGCACAATGTAGCACGCCAAGCTTAGCCGGACAAACTCGTCTGGACCTCAGCCCCAGCATTCACGGACCTGCTCACACGGACCGACACGATCCAACATTCCGCCTGAGTCAGCAACCCTCTGGGTAGAAAAGAGTTCGAAAGGGAGCATCACTGACCACGAAGAATTCTGCTCCAGGCCAGTAGTCATCATGATGAGGCCTCAAATCAGTCAGAGGCCCTGTCCCAGGCCGCTTGCTTGACTGTGCTTCTGCTAGGCCACCCACAAGTTCATGAAGACATCGTCCCTGAGCAATTATTGAGGCCGCTGAAGACCACCGCATGGTGTGGTCGCCGCCACGATCGCACATTCGGGCCAGTTTTTACCGGTGTTGTAGAACAAACGGTGATTTACAACAGGAAGGCGAAGGCGTAGTACTGCAATGCATGTCCGTCAAAAAGGACGCTTCCGCTTCCCCGTGCCTAATTCATCCTAATTCTCTGTCCCATTTACCGTTAATCTGAGTAACTCATCCTCAGGTTCTTTTGGCCGTTGCGCCTCCTAGAGTGAGCAAGCTGGTCAAGTCCACCGTTCACATGCTGATCACGCTGCGCCCTAATCCCTGCGAGCATTCAGTGTTGATGATTTGTCATGTCATGTAGCTGCAACGTCTCCTGCGCTCTTGGACCGTCCCAAACTCGCTTCTGGCGTGCCTTGGGGAGTGCAAAAAGAAGCTCCTCAAAACGGCTTTCAATAGAAAACGCAGAGCCCAAGACGACCTTCACTGCAAAGAAACTGAACCACATTGTCACACACTGTCATACTGTGCAAGATCCACCTCTATCTGGTCCCCAGCAATCACAATCACCCTACCTCTAGTCTGAGTCTGAACCGTGTAATGACGTCCACGGGCTCCGATGCCTTGAGCCTATTAAGTCTACTTGGGCATTGGGAGAGGTGGCTACTTGGGAGTTCTATGAAAGCTTTTTGAGGACAACTGCGAGACATTAAAGTAGCGCGCCATCACCATGACATTGGCATCACCATTGGCACATCTGCTCCAGTCCACCTGCGGCAAAGGCTTAACAAAAAGTGCACTGAGGCAAATCTACCAACGGGAAAGCCAGCAGCAGTAGTAGTAGTAGTCGTAGTCGTAGTCGTAGTAGTAGTAGAAGTAGTCGTAGTAGTAGTAGTAGTACCCCGCATGAGCATTATTCCTCCTCGTCGGAATAGTTCATCCAGCAATTTAAAAACCCCCCATAGTAGCGTCCTTGCTCCTAGTAGCGATGCCAGGAGCTCCTAGTAGTTTCTTGTTCCTAGTGGTACGGCCAAGAGCCCCTAGTAGCGTCCTTGCTCCTCAGAACGCCTGCGGCAAGTTTTCGAGCGCAATGTCCAGAACCTCTTGGAACCTCAAGGAGGACAGCTACGCTGCTCGAACGGACGCTACGCTTCATGAGCCAATGAGCAGTGCATGTGTCAGTGACTGTCAGTGTGTCTGTGTGTTCGCTTGGAGAGTGTCTCTCCATCACCCTCGATCTCCAAGATTTTTTTGATTTTTTTTGACGTGGAGAGCCGTTCTCTCCGGTGCAGGCGCTTCCACTCGAGGTTCCTCGCTGAGCCAAGTCGTCGGGCATCTTCGGCCCCAGGAGCTGAAAGTATTCTTGACCATGCGCACGCCTCGCACGGAACGATTGACCCAAACCCAAACGGTTAGTAAAACATGGCGCCTGGCGCGCCCATGGCGCCAAGCACCCATGGGCGCTGGGCGCTTCATTCATGATTCACATCATCTTTTCATCACACAAGAGTCGTGAAAGGGAAACCAATCCGGAATGCGACAGGGCGGCTGACGTTCTTTTTGTAACGATCCGAGAGGTCGTTTTCTGACAGTTTCCAAGTAGATGCTCCCGGGATGATGCTCGTAGTGCGAATAACTGGAGATCGGCTGAGCACCAGGGCGGCTCGAGTGCCAAAGGGGTCGAAAACAAGCGCCGGTTCAAAACGAAGCCGGCCACCTCAGATTGCTGAGTCAGTGAACCACAAGACGGAAGGTTCCGGTGATCGGTCCGACATGGACATGACACGTGTTCCAATGGAGGGGGGTGTGCAACGAAATAACGAAGGCTGGTTGAAAATGGTTGAAGGCCATGATACACCATGCTTCAATGCATGTTTTTAAGACCTGAAGCTCTAAAACTCTCAGACCTGAAAGCCAAGCTCCAGACCCTCACCGATGACCTCAGAGGTCAAGATCAGGAGACCCTGCCTTTGGCCCACCCACACCAAGCATCTTAGAGTCCGACCCAGGTGGTCTTGGCCTGGCACCTGAGTTTGAGCTGGTGGGTTCGCGGGTGGATTCATTATGATTCTGGTTGCTTGTCGGCCACGTAAGGGACTTGTTGCTTCTTAAGCTTTGCTTACTAATTGTGGTTGGTGAAAGCCAGATTGAAGGAATGCAACGTGAACCCTGCTACGACCGAGACTGTGCTCCAAACGGCCGCCACGACCGCCTCTGCCGCTCATGTCCGCAGCACGCAGCTGGGGTCATCCCCATTAACAGTGGTAGCCGCGTGGGGCACAGAACCATTCACCATGTGCTCAGTTCATCTCAGTTCCTTTGCAAAGCATCTCTTGGTCTTGGAACGCAATTGGTGTGCCAACTCACCGAACACCAAACATTACAAAACACTGTTGCTGTTCTTGTTAGAAAGGAAACGCATACCCCAAATGAGTGGCATGGTGGCAGCTGCTGCTTTCTTGCTGGGTTTGTGTTCTTTCCTCTGTAAGCTTGATCAGTTCAAGCACAAACACAAACACAAACTACAACTTGAACACCTTCGTTTGTAGGTTGAAACATGATGTTAAACAGTTAAACATGTTAAACAGGTTGAACATCCAACCTCTTGCTGAGGACGGGTGAAGTACGGGTCCAAACTCTGCCACAGAAAAGAGCCGCAACAAAATCCTTCCGACACTGCAAACATCTGCAAACACTCTTTGGCAAAGCGTGCTCCTTTTTTTCTGCGTTCGGCTCTTAGAGCTGCGCAAATCACGATGAGTCGACGGTTGAATGACCTTTTTGGGCATTCAACGGCATGGGAGATGTAGCTTATCATCTATGCTCATCTCACCGTTTTAGGGCAGGATAAGCTGGGCCATGGGATGCCATGGGTGTCCGCACATCCAAAAACTTTGAAAACCAACAGGATGTGCACATCAGAGGGGAAAAATACCCTCATGCGTCTTGTGGACATTCACCACTGTAGCTTCCAGCTTCTCATACAAGCTTTCCGTGCGCAACATCAAGGACCTAAGACTCTCGTCCATCACCAAAGGCGACCGTTTCCAGGGCTCTGAGCGAATCTTTGGCTCTAGAAGGCAGAAAGCTAAAGCTTGTGTTCTTCAGGGTGGTCCATTGTTCATTCTTCATCTACAATTGCTCCACTGACTTCCCCATCCGGAACTCATCCAAACTGCCGAGGAGCCGATGGTTCTCCGCCAAAATGGCCAAGTCTAAGGAACGCGCAGCGCCATGAAGACGTGCCACTCCGGTGATCAACTCATCGATGGTCATGGTTTCCTGGGAGGATCAGTCACCTCTCCCCACCTCGAACACACCAGGGACCGGGGACCTAGCGGTGTCCCCAACAGTTGACAGTCTACCAATCTACAAAGGCCACACTCGAAGTACTGTGACTGTTGACCAACCTTGCAGAGGTTGGTATATCGTCAAATACAACATCGCGTCCTGGCCAAAGTGGGGTGAACTGGGTCCTATAGAGAGAGTGGCCTTGGAGCAAATAGCCAAAATGCACAGAATGGAGAGACTATGATATGTTGTTTTGTCGAACTATGTCCAACTAAACAGGTTCATGTATTTTTCAAAGCGGGTATTACAGTACTTAGGGTAGGTAGGTGCACGGCACTCCATGAAGTAGATCCCCAAAGGCGCTGCAGAAAGCAGTCGATATTGTTGGCTCATATGGTCTTCTCATCCTCTCCCCCCTTTTGTTTCCCTTTCCAGCTTAATTGAGGACGGCGACCTTTAAGCAAACCTTTCAGCACATCGCATGCTTTGAATTACATCCCTGAGAATGAAGGCTTCACCCGCAAAGCCTGAGTGATCCATTGAGATCTAATAAAACAAGGGGAAAAGGGTGCCAAACCACCCCAGCGTGGTGTCACTGCGATCCGCATCCAGCAATGTGAAGACCTCGTCCGCATCTGCGATCGACAAGCCTTGCGCTGCAAACCACTGCTTGGTATTGGGACTCTCCATGACGTGCTTCCATCGGTCTCTGCTGATCATGGTGTCCCCCGATTGGTTGCCTGGAACTGAGGAGTGAAGTGCAAGAACCTTTCTGATATGTGTATACTATACATAATAGCACACAAATGGAAATATGGAAATACTAACCAGGACTAGTACCAGGACTAACTATCAATAATATTCAATAGTACTGTTACATCTCATAAACAGGTTCAAAAGTACTCCTAACCATGGTCTGGTGGCTCAATTCAAAGAAAGCCTTCATCTTCTCCGCATGGAGCCGGTCCCTTCGCCCCACGTCCCTCATCATGATCACATCATCCGACTGCGCGACGCGCAAAGTTTCCTGCATAAAAACACCATTGATGACGCCAATGCATGCAAAGCCGATGGTGACCTTGTGAAGGATTGTGAAAATATTCATCGCTGGACTGACGATCTCCTGCAAAACTCGGGCCACCGGCACCCAAGTGCCTAAGGTCACCTGAAACATGGTCAACATGGACCGGGGGAAGGTGCCAAAGTGTTCGAAGAGCACAATCTCATCCTCCAGTGCGAAGTCACGCTGTGCGACCATGGTAGCCAAGACTTGATTCAAAAGGAGGGCAAAAAGGAGCTGCACCACCAGCATGATGACTGCCACCCAAAACAGGCCATTTGCCTGTTTGAGCGAGCTTGAACAAGGTAATTATGCAAGTGAAACTCTGAATGGAGCACAGTGAGTACAACTTCTTTTGGTTGTGACGGTTGTGAATCTGTGCTGAGGAATTTCGGGGTAAAGGCTCCCATTCTTCGTCGAAAATGAACTCAAGGCATCGCTTTTGCGCGAGACCCTCCAAAAATAACTAGATATACCTTGAGTCTCCAATGACCCTCTTTAATTTGCCTTTCCAAGAAAAAAGGTTTTTGAAAGAAAGCACTCTTTTTTGCATATGTCACGAAATGTTCCTTTTTTTGTGTGTGCCCTGTCAGATCCTCCTTAGACAGTGTCCTGAGACCTTTTTTCGGCGTCCAAAACTTTTCTTTTTGCGTCCAAAAGGCGTCTTTACTGTAAGCGTCCGTGCCGGACGCGTCCGGATGAAGATTCACTCTGCACCTTTTTTTGAGTCCTCATCTCTAAAAATGCGTTTTTCGAGCAAAACAAGGCAAAAATATTGGACCCGAAACAAAAACGCAGAAAGAAAAGGTCTTTGGAGACTCAAGGTAGAATCAGAGATGACTCGTGTTTAAAATGGGGAGGCTCATTGTTGCTGTAAAATGATTTTAGCATGTTTTAGCATATGATACTCTAGAACTCTAGATCCTCTGGCTGTTAAGTTGCGCTTTCTTGCAAAGCAGTGGTCATAACGATGAGGGAGTCGAAGCCACGCACCACCCGTACCAACCTCACCAATCGCAAAAGTCTCACTAACCTGATCAAGCGCAACTGCGAACTGTTCACCGGAAAGGCGATGACCATGTCTGCTAGCCACATCGCAACCAAGAAGAAATCAAACCTGGTGTGCACAAAAGGCTCAGAACACAAAAGGCTCAGAACATACTTTGGTAGGTGTGCATATATCATCATACGTGGCTCCACACAAACATGTGCGTCATGTGTGTCATGTCACTGTAGTCAACTCCGACTTGGGCCGATGATGTGGCTAATGTCGTGAAATGAATTCCTAATGCTCAGAGATATAGAATGACTACATCATCGATCACATTGCCCACATAATGAAGGAGTCACCATGATACCATACTAGCAAGCTGACGACCTGCAAGCAGCAATACAGAAGAAACAACAAAATCTTCTTTAGCAATTTGCCAAGAACCAATTCCAGGGATCATTGAGGTATGCTCTCCGAAGGCCACTGATTTTCAGCACCACCTCAACACTAAAGAACGTGCCGAAAAAAATCTCCACCCCCTGAAGAAAGGCAGGTATGCTAGGCCAAACATCTGAAGCTGGTTGCTCATAGCCTGGGAATTGCAAGCGATAACCCCAGCCGAAGCCCGTATACTGCACCTCCACGGCCATTGCCACAGCCTGCAGGAAGATCAGGCATGCAAAGAAGATCTCGAAGGTGTACGTTTTGATGACCCGATCGGGGTGCCACCAAGGTTTCAAAATATCATCTTTGGAGAGTGATTGCTTCAATGTTGCTGCACGTTTGCCCAATCTCTTTGACCTTGAAGCTGTTGCTGACCCTTGATCCTTCTCCTCCACCTTGACTGTCACAGAGGTCGGCGACCCAGGCCCTGGACTTCTCATGAAGGTCGGCGAATCGATGTCGACCGGCAACCCGGTGAGGTTGCTGGGCCCGCCGTGGCCGAGCGACGGTTCCGGCGACTCGGTCGGCTCCGGGGGCTTCAACGCCGGAGCCTGGCGAAGGGTGTTGGGACCGAGCGGAGGGTTCAAGTCGCTGGCCATAAAGCGCAGCTCATCGAGGATCACCGCGTGTTGCTGCGCCAAGCTTTGACGCTCCTCCTTCAAGCGCTCCTCGAGCCAGCGAAAGAGTTCAGGCACGGAGGACTCGCGAGTGGTTTCTCGCATCGAAAGCGTCACTCGCACCGCTGGGCGAGTGGTTTGGGCACCTTTTGAGCCGAGCTATGCTGCGCGGTGCTGCTCGGTGCTGTGGAAGTAACGAAAGCGCTGAATCAGACATCTCATCAACTAAGCCGACACTTCAGATGAAGAAGTAAGGGAAATGGCAACGAATCTGGCCAAAGGCCATCAATTCAGTGCTCTGTTTTTTACCTCTTTTCACACGTCGCGCGCAGCCATCAATCGACAGGAACGCCGCGGTTCGCACGTGTTCTTTCGAGGCATCATATCAGTCAATATCATGTGGCGTTGCCATGAAACCCTGGCTCAAACTCCCCCAAAATTGGTGAATCCTTCTTGAGGCCCGACTTGTGGTTGGCGTGTTGGTTGTTCAAAGAAATCTCCCCATTCTTCAACACTTGAGCAGGTGCCTGGACAGGGCGCCGCACCAAATTAAATTGCTTCACTGCTGCTGCAAATCTTGTCACATCTTTGAGTGTGGGCCCATCATCATTTATCAGCTGCACTACACACCAGCAAGAGCACTGAGCACATCTAGAAAAATAGTAGTAATAACGTTCCAAAGAAAACATGTCTCCCATGCATTTCGCAGGTTCATGTTCAGGGTCCATTTGGGTGTTCAGACCATCTTTGCTCGCTATGTAGATCGCCCCATCTCAGTTGCTGAGTCATCTGCCTGCCAAGACTCAGCAACAACATGAAAGTTGGATGGGTTTTGACATGCTTTGACTGGTTTTGGTACAGCGTGTAACAATATGGCTGGTCCCTTGTGCGAGGACCATGTGGGTGGTACCCTGGAATAAATTTCTTATTATTCCAGGGTCATGCACATACATGTGGATAAATTATTCCTGATGTATCCCACACCGTGGAATAATTGATGAAATGCATACAGCTCATATGATTGAAAATGCTTAGAATTCGGGGGGGTCAGCAGGAAATGTTTGGAGCCGATCCTATAGGGCAGGAAGTGAGAGTTATGGCCTTCTAAAGCAGGAGAGGCTTGGAGCTGATCCTATCTTTCTTTCTTTCAAGTGGACACTTCGATTGGACGGACCGGCAGGATTGAATTCGGTTGTAGGCCTTAAAGAGCGCCAAGATCAGTTCTGAGATTCACAAGGATCGTCACACCAAACACAAATTATTTCTGATGTCTAACAGGAGTTGGTGGCCCCAGAATAATTTTCCCGTTTGTGGAGAGGTTGGTGAGGGGTGCAGGGAGGTGGGCTGTCTGTGTCTGGCGATGCCTTCACAGGGCC